AGATCACATCAGAGTGTAAGAATATGTAAAATAACAGAGCGTAAGAATCAAAATTGAGCTATGCAGAGAAGCAGTGGACATAGGGTGGAGAAAACCAGGCTATGTGTGTGTGTGAAATACACATGGAGGAGGCAGTGAATGAAAAGCCTGGCCACTTGGAGATAAGCTGGGAGAGTATTATGAAAACTCAAGAGTAACTGAGAAAATCCCAGACAAAAAACTTAAATAATTAAAGCCACATATTAGAGAAAGGTGTTTAGTTTTGACTGTCAGAGTTTGAACATGAGAAAACAGTAACTGGAGAGAAAGGGAAAGAAGTCATAAAGACATTAAAGGATTGCGGTTTATCCATATTTATTGTGTTAGCTCCTGAGGTGGACAGCAGGAGTGTTTCTTCAGCGCCAGTGTCCATCACACTTCATAGTGCAGAATGCATCCTCCAGAAACACTGTAGCATGGATGAAGACAGAGATGAGTGAAAAGGAAGAAAATAATTCTGGAGATGTTGTGCAGGAAGGATCTATAGTATTTGTCAAGACATTGGGTGGAGAGATTTCATGGAGAGGAGACAAAGACACTGGGAAGTCCTGAGCCTACTGTGGTAGACACAAAGGAGATTCTGAATTCATATCTGATGAATGAATCCACTCATTGATCTGTATTTGTTATGTGAATGAATGTTACATGAATGCCCTGGTGTGGAGAAAACAGATGGGGAGACTATGTGCTAGGGTAAAGTGAGAGCTCGTGTTTTTGTTTTTTAATTTAAAAAGAAATCTGCTTTTCCTATCTGGTTTTCCTATTTAAAGCTACATGATTTGAGGAAAATGGTTGAACTCCTCTGACCTTCAGTGTCATCTACAAAATTTGGATAATGATACTGAGGGAAGCTGAAAAGCCATATCAACCAACTTATATAAAAAATAGTAAACATCCAGTTCAATTGCTAATGCATGGTGCTGAAAAAGTCCTTGTATGTGGTATATTGTTCACCTTTAAGGAACCTGCTCTCAAGAGCCGATGAGAAACTTCTTTGGTGCAGTTTTAGTTTAGTTTTGTTTTTCTAGTGCAGTGGTGTTTTTTTTTTAGTCACTGCTGTTTTGCTCATTTAGTTGGCACCAACAAGTCTCTGTGAACATAAAAATAAAATAAAAATAAAGATTGTTGAGGAACAGAATACAAACACATAGTAAGGTGAGATTCATACAACAGAATGTAGTAAAGGATTTGTGCCTGATTCTTTTTGCATTCTCTTGGAATCATTTTTAGCCTTTTTTCCAAGTCCTCAATTATTGTCATTCTTCTCCCAATAAGATTGTTTCTCTCTACCACGGATAATCTGATCAGATTCTCTGCTTAACGATCTTGACCTCCTGAGCATGCTCTTTGTACTGAGACCCTGATTTATGCTCAAATGATGCTCTTCCATAGCAGGGCTTTTTGCTTTGCCCAAAGAGCATCCAGTTTTTCGAGCCATTGAGGGCTCTTTCCTCACCCAGTATCTATGTGAAACCTTAGAGGGAAGCCTATTCTTTGCAGGAAGAGAACTCTGCTGGTTTCTAACTTCAATCTTTAAATCCACTAGGGTAACTGGAGTTAGCTCGGATTAGCACATGGGGTTAGCTGAGTTAGTCTAGACCTTGCTCTCTGAGAAGTGGATGGTGCTGCTACTTCCCATAGAGGCTGAATAAAAAGAGGCATCTGCAGGTAGGAGATGGTGCTATGGTAGTTGCTGGATGATTTCTTCTGACCATTAGCTATCCCTCTGACCTGTTGGGAGAAGGGTAACAAAAACTGGAGACTTGAAAAACAGGTAAAAAGAAAAAAAAGATTCAAAAGAAATTTAAAATAATCATGCACAAATTCTTAGACTCTTTTATCCGAATCCATACTTTATAGTAATACCTTACTAATACATTACTATATATCTGTATTCTATTTCTCCATAATCTATTTTATTTTATTTTTATGTTCACAAGAAGTTGGATGCTACCTACCAAATGAGCAAATCAGTCATGGCAGCAGAACTGCACCAAAATCTCTCATCAGATATTGATACAGTCAAGCCCCTCATTAATGCCTATGATACAAATTCAGCTTGAGAGGCCAGCTTTCCACAGGGAGAAGGCAACCAAAGCAGTAGCTAATACTTACTGAACACTTCCTATTGCCCACACCCATCTCTAGGTGTTGAGATTCAGCCAGAGAATCCCACAGTCCTCATTTTTCGTTTGAAGAAACATGTGAGGAATTTACCACCCCAGTCAGTCCTCATGTATCATCAGTTTTCCAACGAAGCCAATTAGCCTTCTGTGCAAAAAGCTCTCATAACCCCCAGTTGCCTTGGTAGGTAAAAGTACTTTTATGACAGCGTTAGAAAAACATGGGCACAAAGGTCCTAGCAAGATAACTAGAAGAAGGCGAGGCTAAAGTTGTCAAGGAGACAAAGTTCCTGATTGTCCTCCTGAAAGGTGAATGTGCCACTTCCACATTCCCAAACGCTTTACTGCCTAGTGATTCCCTCACAGAAGACATTGTCACACCACTTCTTACATATTTTTGTTCGTTTCCTATTTCTCCCCACTCCTCCCAGCTGGGATGCAGTTTCACAAAGGTAGGAATATTTGCATTGTATTCACTCTTAACCCAAAACAGTCTCTTAACAAGATATGCATTCAAGAAATATTTGTTGGATGATTAAAAGAATAAACTACTTCACCCACTCACCCAATAATTACTGTGGGGTGACCCTGAGAACAGGAAGTTGAAAGAGAAATTTCCCCTGCTTCCTCTGTCAGCTAGAAAGACAAATTACATGGCATAGCATGTAGTTTCTGATGTAATCTACTCAATTTACTCTTCTGTTTTCACCACTCATTTTACTCAAACCACTGGAAAGTCAAAAAAACAACAAAGCTTAAATAATTTTTCCATTTTCTGAAATACTGAGTCAGTCTTCAAATCCTTATCTGACAGCATTTATGTTCTGATCTGATATTTAGTGCATCTAACTTCTATGGCAAAAGCAGTACCCTCTCTGAAGTTCTAACCCAGGATCTTCAGATTATGAGATTGACACGCTGCTGGCTGCACCAAGAGGGCTCCAGCTTAACCCTGGCCAACACCCACCTTACCGAAGTTTATTTCCCACCTGCTTTATGGTTTCAGCTTTCAAAAACCACAATCAATTCTACTTGGAAACTACTCCGCATCAATCAATGCTGCACTAGGAAGATTCACACCCAAGACCAGAGAAGTCTACGCCTTTCCAGTATTCAAAGGACCATCTGGGTTCTGCGTTACCAGGATCAATTGTACCTGTCTTTTGTTGCTTTTTCCCTCTTGTGGCCCAATGATATGGCTTTTCCTTCCCTCAGAGACCTTAGTCACTCTTACCCCTTCCATGGTCTCCTTTGTTGAAAAGAGACAGGAGATTCTCAGTTTATGATAGTTCACTGATGAATTGAATACGTAAATGAATGAAGAAATAGTCATCAAACATGTCTCTTGACCATACTACTGTCTTCCCTTTATATCTCCACTTGCATCTACATGACTGGAGACACTGCATCTACAAAAAACACAAAACACTTATGATAGTAACCTCCTTGTTTTTTCTTGTGTGCTATTTATGAAATTTATTGCATTTACATAGTCCAATTGAATTTCACTGACAAAATGATGTATCCTAATGTGCATTTTCTTTGTTTTTTTTTTTTTTTTTTTACAGATTTTTGTAGAATTCCTTTTTTTTGATTTTCTTTTTTTTTTTTTTTTTTTTTTCTTTGAGACAGAGTCTTGTACTATCACCCAGGGTTGGAGTGCAGTGGTGTGATCTCAGCTCACTGCAATCTCTGCCTCCCGGGTTCCAGTGACTCTCCTGCCTCAGCCTCCTAAGTAGCTGGGATTATAGGTGCCTGCCACCATGACTGGCTAATTTTTGTATTTTTAGTAGAGATAGAGTTTCACCATGTTGGCCAGGCTGGTCTTGAATGCCTGGCCTTGTGATCCACCTGCCTCAGCCTCCCAAAGTGCTGGGATTATACGTGTGAGCCACCACACCCAGCCGTCTAATGTGCATTTTCTGGATGTAGTGGAGGCTCAGATAATTATTGTTTCTAAGGTGCCAGAGCTGCTAGGTGGCAAAGCCTGAACTGAGAAGATTTTTTTTTTTAGATTCCAAAATGTGAGTTTTTTTCTCTGTTCCTGCTCATGATCTCTCTGCCTGTTTTTCTCCACAGTAGTTATTCATTCATACACCAAATATCTAATTCTCAACCTCCTCCTGGGTCTAGACTTCCAAGTGAACTTTGACTCATTGTCCTCCTTCAAACATCACATTCAATGGTTTGCCAACTACTGAACAATATTCTTGCATATCTCTTTCAAATCTATCAATTCCATTCTACTCGTTCAGTAGATATTCACTCAAGAGATGCTCTGTGCTAGACACTGTAATAGGCTCAGGAAGTTCAAAAGAAATTTGGCCAGGCCAGACCTCAAGAAAAAGCAGGATAAAAACGGACAAGAAAAGAGTCACTTACAGATTCACCACTGTCAGTTTTCTTGTCATTTATTTCAGTAACTGTTTCAGAAATATCAGTTTCAATAATGTCACTTTTCTCTACTCTGACCATTCATGATTTCCTAGTCATAATATGATCTTGCTTTTCTTTGAATTTTTGGCTCTTGTTTCTACATAAATTGTGATTTTGCTTTATAAAGTCTATTAGATCCTTTGGTGGATGATGGTGTTCAGTTCCCTGTTTGCTGATTTGTTTTCTACTGAATATTAATTACTGAGAGAGGAGTGTTAATGTCTGCAACTGTAATTGGATTTTTCTATTTTCTTTCTGTTTTATCCATTTTGTTTATAAGTTTTAAAGCTCTGTGGCCAGAAACAGACTTATTTAGGACAGTTGCATCCCTTCGGTGAATAGACACTTTATAATTATATAACATCTGTTTTATATCCGCGGGCCTCATCTCGTGTTAGGCAAGTGAGGTAATCTCTACACTATGGAGACCCTCAGACTTCCTAAATCTAAGCTACAGATCTGAATATACACACATATACATATACATATATACACACATATACATACACATATATTCAATTCTTTTTAAGGTATATCATGTAGAACTCACATATTCACACCATAGAAGAAAACAGCAAAAATCACAAAACTATTACAGACAAGAACCATGGGGATTAAAAGACCAGCTTGTAGTAGAGGGATAAATATGAACCTTGGAGGATGCAGATGAGGAAGAATGCACATGAGTGGGAAGGAACAGGGATGGATGTAGAAATTCCTGTGTAAGAAAACATGCCTGTTCACTTGGGATGTATAGTGCACAAGTGCATGTGTGCCTGCCTGTATGTGTGCCTGTTTATAAAATGAAAGGAAAGACGTGAAAGGAAGTAGTGATTGAAATGCCTGTGCACATGATGATAATGACTGAGAAAACACCGAGACTTAAGAACCCTTGGAAAAATTTCCAGTCAGCTTACATAATCAAATTAACATTTAAGAAAAAGGTGTTCAACGTTTAATGTCAAAGAGCTTGGGAATAGGAAAACTGAAAACTGTAACTGAAGAGAAATGGAAAGAAGTTACAAAGAGATGAAAGAATTGAGGTTTCTTTACATTTATTTTGTCAGCTTCTGAAGTAAACAATATGAGTCTTTCCTTAGCTCCAGTGACCATTATACTTTGTGGTGCAGACTACATTCTCCATAAACACAGTAGAATGGACAGAGATACATGAATGAAAAATAAGAGAACGATTCTGGACAGGTTGTGCAGGAAAGATCTATGGTATTTGTCAAGATATTGGTGTACACATTTGAGGGAGAAGTCTTGAAACTGTGTGACACAGAAGAGGTCCTGAATTAATGTCTGATGAATGGAACAATAAATCTAGACATTTATAAGTATTTGTCAAATGAATAGAAGAATGAATAGATGAGCTGGTGTGGAGAAAAACGGATGATGAGACTATGTGCTAAAATTAAAGAAAGAACAAGGGTTTGTATTTTCTCATTGTGGTAAAATATACATAACACATTTTACATTTAAGATTTTAAGTGTTCAATTTAGCGGCACTAAGTACATTTACAATGTGAACAACCATCACCACTACCCATTTCCAGAACTTTCTCATCATCATCAAATAGAAACTCTGTACTCATTAAACAATAACTTTACATTTCCTTCTCCCCAAAAACTTCTATTCTTTCTATCTACATGAATTTGCCTATTCAAGATACCTTATATAAGCAGAATCACAAAACAAGTTTTTTTTTTTTTTTTTGGGTGGGGACAGAGTTTCGCTCTTGTTACCCAGGCTGGAGTGCAATGGCACGATCTCGGCTCACCGCAACCTCCGCCTCCTGGGTTCAGGCAATTCTCCTGCCTCAGCCTCCTGAGTAGCTGGGACTACAGGCACGCGCCACCATGCCCAGCTAATTTTTTGTAGTTTTAGTAGAGACGGGGTTTCACCGTGTTGACCAGGATGGTCTCGATCTCTTGACCTCGTGATCCACCCGCCTCGGCCTCCCAAAGTGCTGGGATTACAGGCTTGAGCCACCGCGCCCGGCCAAAACAATTTTTTAATTTAGGAAAAATAAGCTTTCTGTATTTGGTTTTGCTCCTTACAGCTACATATTCTAAACTCAGAGGTGCAATCGGCGGGTTCACAAGCCACTTACGGGTTGCTTTCCACACTCTGAGCAGGACTTTACCTTTACTTGGAACTTCACTTTACAGTGCCCTGACCAGAAAGAAAGCTGGGTTTTATTTATCCTGCTCTGCCCTGCGGTTTCCAGGACTGCGCTGCATTTTGGGTCAAGCTGCAGAAAGGAGAGAAAAGGAACAATCGAGTATGTCCCACCCTCTTGGGATCTCTTTGCTCCTTTTAATAAACAGAAAACAACTTACAAAATGGGTTTTGTATATTGCTCGTTTTAGAGGCTATTACTAGCACCGTTTCTTTATGCCCACGGGTCTTTAGCCAGTGGAGCAGTCAAGTGGCTGACATTTTTGACAGGTCACTAAACCTGAAGCTGTTAGTCTCCTGTGACCCCATGTCTATGAAGAACAACCTGGAGAAGGTGAGCATCGATCTCACCCTGTCTTACATGCTAAGCGAGCACTCTACCACTTGAGCTAATTCCTCATCTGACCCAAGCCTCTCTGTCCTTTCCTTTATGCAGGAGTAGGTGTGCCGCGACTACCCACCACTTTTAGAGGCTCAGAACATAAGAAATGTCTCCACTGTTAAGGGACTCGACTTAAGGCGAGTCTACTCAAAAATGGCCAGGGCAAGAGCGCGACGGCTATTCCTCTGCGAGGGAGAGGGAAAAAACGTAACCAGGAGAAAGTGCACACTGGAAATCTGGTTCTGTAAGATTTCACGTTCCAGACTTTCAGGGAGCACGTCCCAGCTGGGGAGCGCCCGCCCAGAGCGGCCTGCTAATTTGGCACAGCTATCCAGGATGATGATCTTTTTTTAAAAAAAAGAGGCAAGATTTTTACTGTTCCTTGCAGCTCTGGACTCCCAGGAAGAGGCGGCCACTCCCGGTCGGATTCTGGGAGACAAAAGAAATCTGTTGTTTCCATTGGGTTTCAAACAGGCGACCTCCCGCGTGTTAGGCACCGTGGTAACTGCTACACCACAGAAACCCTTTGCATTGCAGGCTTTTTATAGTTTGAGATGAGCATCAAACACTTGTTTTTACAATGATTTTTTAGTTGAAAAATAAAAATGGTATATATTATGTACAACATGATGTTTTGATATATGCACACATTGTGAAATCGTTAACTCGAGCTAATTAGCATAACTATTACTTATTTGTGTGTGTCACGAGAACACTTAAATCTACTCTCTTATCAAGTATACATTATTATTAACTGTAGTCACCATACAATACAGAAGATCTGAATTTATTCCTCCTGTTTAACTGAAATTTTGTGTCCTTTGACAAACACCTAATACCACTCCCACCTCCCATCTCCTCCCCCAGCCCCTGAGAACTACCATTCTACTCTCTGATTTTATGAGTTCGACTTTTTTAGATTCCACATGTAAGTGAGATCATGCAGTGTTTGTCTTTCTGCGCCTGGCTTATTTCACTTAACATAATGCCTTCCAGGTTCATCCACCTCGAAAAGGACAGGATTTCTGTTTTTAAAGACTGAATCATCTGTTGATGCTCTACCTATTTTTTGAGAGTTTTTAATCATGAAGGAATGTTAAATTTTGTCAAATGCTTTCTCTGCATCTATTGAGATGAGATGGTTTTTGTCTTTCATTCTGTTAATATGGTTTATCACACATTTATAGATTTGTGTAAGTTGAACCATCTTTGTATCCCTGTGATAAATCCCACTTGATCATGGTAAACGGTTTTTTAAAATGTGCTGTTGAATTCAATTTGCTAGTATTGTATTGAGTATATTTGCATATATGTTCATCAGGGATATTGGTTTGTAATTTTTTTTTTTTCTTATTTTGTAGTGGTCTTGTTGGGCAGTGGGCTCCCGATAATGCTGGCCATTACTG